ATCAATGTCAAACTATATGCATCCCATGCAGGGGTGGGATTCATTTTTTTAACAACCGGTTCTGTGGGTGTGGCTTAGTTGGTGGGCATGGCTAGTTGGTCATGTGACTGACTGGGTGTGGCCAAATCAACATCACTCACATCGAGGCATGCATCTCCTCACCTGGCCTCTCACGACTGTGGGGATTCTGCAACAGTGTGAAAAACGGTCATAAGTCACTTTTTTCAGTGCCATTGTAACTTTGAATGGTCACCCCACACAAGCAAAGCACCAGCAAAGGAAGGGAAAAAAACTCCAGAGAAGTTCCTGAGACAGGAAGTCTAGTCCTGCCAAGAATGTAATAAAGGTTAATGGAGAGGGAGTTTCTGTAAGCAACACCAGAATGTTTCCTTCCTGCCTTCCTTACAGGATTAGGCCAGTAATTTCTTCTAACAACCGGTTCTCCGAACTGCTTAGAATGCTAACAACCGGTTCTAGAGAATAGATGTGAACCTGTAAAATCCCACCCCTGATCCCATGGAGATAAGGGGGTCTGGATACCAAGTATATATCACAATGTACTATTCCATGGATAGGCTATCTTTTTTTTTTGCTTCAATACATTGCCAGACAGGTACCCCACACATGCAGATATCTCTGTTCACATAGCCCCTTTTCTCTTTTTGCCATACACAGTCACACTTTATCTTTAAGAGATATTTTTGTTTATTTATTTAGATATTTATTTAGATATTTTTATCTTTAAGAGGTGGTGCAGTGATTAGAATGCAGTATTGCAGGCTAATTCTGCTGACTGCCGACTGTCACCATTTTGGTAGTTTGAGTCTCATCGGCTCAAGGTTGACTCAGCTTTCCATCCTTCCAAGATCAATAAAATGAGGATCCAGACTGATGAGGGCAATATGCTGACTCTGTAAACCGCTTAGAGAGGACTGTAAAACACTATGAAGTGGTATATAAGTCTAAGTGCTACTGTTATTGCTATCTCTGTCTCTTTCTGTGAATTAATGCAAAATATTCTACTTGTTGTTTTAACCACTAGTTAAAACCCTGATCTTATTCACAGACGAGTGAGGGATCAGGAGGCACATGGGACAAGAATGCAAATGGTCATAGGAAACGAGCAATACAATCCATGCTAGAAAATGAACAATGGAAAATCAGGGCAATTCCTTAAAGGTTTGAAAATAACATTTTCTATAGCCAAGGACAGCATACTGCCCTGGGGTCAAAAATTTGTTCACACACACACACACACACACACACACACACACACACACACACTGCAATAGGAATTACAAACTCACCAACAAAGACATGCATAGATAATTTCAGCTGAGAGAAAACTTTCTGCAAAGTGTTTGCCTTTAGTCAAGCCACATCCATTGATGGGCTCAATGTACCCTACTACGTTGAATTGGTCATGAACCACAAGGAAAGCAATGTTCCACAGAACAAGACTGGTATGTTTGGCTGCTATTTTATTTGGGCACAATGTTCTTGATGTAGCATTGCTTCAGGGCAGTCCATATTAGTTCTTTGCTTAGGATGCTGGGGTGGGAAAAAATATTTTAAAGAGAAACTTGCAAAGCAGGTGTCAGCCTTGACTCTGTTGTAGCAAAGAGCCTTGACAACTATTCTAATATATCTACTTTTGTTTGGTTATTTAAAAGCTATATTCTCCATGAGTTCTCTTCAAACCACATAATACATTTTCTGAAATGGGCATCACCAGTTTAAAGAAGGAAAACTTTTTTCTCTCTTTGCTTCTACTGAAAAATCAGCAGCGTTTTCTACTATAATTTATCATCGGTCAGAAATTGACCCAAGAAAGTACTGTTACGCTGAAATAATCTATTTTTATTTAATTGATTAGGCTATTTTATTGTCAGTGATTACACTCAGCCAATCTATGGCATTAAGTTGCTTAGATCTCCAGATATGGCAGCTTCATGGTTATATATAGTGATCATCCTATTGATCAAAGCTACTTAGCTGACTATATATATCAGCTGGTAATTCTGTTCAGTTCAAAGTACAACAGCTTTAGATAATTAGATATAATAGAATGTGCAGGATTTTTAAAAGAGTTTTTTTAGATGTGCACGCATGCCTATTCATTTTAAGTATTCCCTATTAATATTTAGAAAAAAGCTTAGGGTAGCATATTTAGACAGCAAAGAATATGGAAAATCTAATTTCTCCAAATTGCAAAATGATTATGCCAAAGAAAATAGATTTAAATTTACTTTTAATGTACATATGAACTGAAAGAAATATAATACTATACAATACAATGGAACCCTAAACATAATTATTCTAGTCTGTATCAAAAATGAAACAAAATTAGATTAATCATTTATAAACTGCCATTATTTACTCATTTTTCTGTTCCTTCATAATTCAGATTTTTCTACTCAGATTAAAAAAAATAAAGGGATTACTTTTCACTTCTACATTTTTATTATTAATATTTATTAATAGTATTAATAACTTATAGAATATTAATATCCCTTAATATTCTGTTCAATTAATAGAAAGCTACTAGCTCTAAGTTTAATAGGGTGAACTTGTTTAATTAATCAACATAATTATATAAAATAAAATTGATTACATCTGTTACATATTACCAAAAAGTCATATATTCTTTTTGGTATTTTTCATTTCCCTTTCCCTAGTATTAATATTGGCTTTCCAAACCATAGTATTGTCACAGAATTAGTTAATAATAATTTTTGATGAACATTTTAATTAATGATACTGAAAATTGAACTGTTGCATCCTACTATAGTTTTGCTCTAGCACAAACTATTTCCAGTTTTCACCTTGCAGGTTATGTAGAAAAGTTTATATAGTTGAGTCTGCTTCACACTAACTGTTTGTTAACTTGTTCTAGGCCAACTTAGTGGCACTAGATTGGGGTCACACAACAGGCATGCCAAGGCTGTGTCAGCTACCTGGAAGCACACACACCCCTCCCCTATGCAACTCAAATCCACTTCCCTCAAAAGTGCAAACCATTGTGGGGACTTCATTCCTGCTAACTTTAATCCCAGTGTTCTGACCCAAACCCTTTTCCAATAAAACAAACAATAATTGAAGGGAACAGAAACCTTTTTAATGAATCTTACGAATCCCGGGTTAAAATGCTGCTGCAAACTAATTAACTTTGATAAGCACAAATCTCGCCAAAACTGTGCAAGACTGCCAAGAATCACAGATAAGAAATATTTCACAACACGAGAGTCTTCAAATACCAACTAAGATACTGAAATGTTCACAAGGCTGGAGTTTCAAAATGTTTTTGCTTCCTACAAAGAATGTCTGATTCACAGCTGGCTTTTACCTTCTTGAAGGAGGGGCCATTACCTTGCAGCCTTACTCCTGAGTCACCCATGTTGCTGCAGCTGTTCTTTCCTACGAGCAGCCCTGAGCACATGCGCACTTGGCACAGGCTCCTCGGGAACCTCCTCATCACTGCTGCCAGCCCCCACAATTTCTGAAGGCAGCAGTCTACTCCCTAATGGTCCTGGCCCCTCATCTGAGTCCTTGCTCTCCTCAGCTGTCCGCACCTGCTGCTGGCTCGCCACAACACCCAGGCTCTGCACTCTGGGTATGTGAGCGCAATTCATGGAAGAACCAGAATCAATTAAGGAAAAGAAAACACTTGGCCATAATGGGCAGAGAAATGGACTTCATTGATTTGATGACTCTCTGGATTGAGAAAAAGTCGATACAAAACTAAGGGATTGTTAAAAGATAACTGTTCTTGAAAACATGGCCAACAGTGAACGATGCTAGGAAGTATTGTTTGGTAACATCTGGAGTGCTGTAAGTTGCTTGTTCCTGAACTTGACTATTTAAAGTGGCACCACAGATTCTAAATATGAATCCCATAATAGCAGGAGGGCAGAACCTTTGCCAGATGATCCAAATGAAGATCTCCAGTCCTTTCAGCTGGGACTCTCAGGCTCTTCCTAGAGCAGGACCATTCATTAGTTTGAAGTTATGCTCATGTTGTAAAGGCCCAATTAAATATATCCCATCGTGTGGATGATGGGAAGGAAGTGGAGTTAGAGGCATCTAGGGGTCAGTAGTAGTGGCAAACTCAACAACTCCACTCTTGAGCCAGTTCCAGAAAGCCCTCAGGAAGTCTTGTCTATATCCACTGATAGTCTCTCAAACTCTGAAATCCAACCACCAAGTCCTAAACAGAGATAATGATTCAACAACAACCAAGAGCAGAGCTCTGTAGATTGATGAGACCTGCCAAGAAACAACTTTGAGAAGAATCAATGCTGAGTAAACTCCCACAGTTTTGTGTACTAGGTGGAGGCTCAGGGGGGCTGATTTGTTGGCCTCACTTCTGGGAAGAAAACTCCAAGAGCAACTTTTCAAGCCTTAGCTCTGTTGTATTTTCATGGTTGTTAGTACAGGGACTCCTCAATTTATGACCACAATTGAGCCCAAAGTTTATGCTGCTAAGTGAAACATTTGTTAACCGAATTTTGCACCATTTTATGGCTTTTCTTGCCACAGTTGTTAAGTGAGTCACTGCAGTTGGTAAGTTGATAACACAGTTTTTAAGTGAATCTGATTTCCTCATTGATTTTGCTTGTCAAAAGATTGCAAAAGCTGATCGCATGACCTTGGGAAACAGCAACGATCATAAATATGAACCAGTTGCCAAACATCTGAATTTTGATCACATGATTATGGGGGTGCTACAAAGGTGAAAAAAGGGTCATAAGTCACTTTTTTCAGTGCCATTGTAACTTTGAATGGTCACTAAATGAACTTTCGTAAGTCAAGAACTACCTGAGTTCTAGATTCCCTGCCACTATTTGTCTTATCTTGTCCTTTGGTTTTGTCACTTGTTCTTTGGATTTCTGATGTTGACCCGTGCCAGGTCTTTTGATTATGTTTACAATTGCTATTTTAAGATATTGGTAAAAAATTCTGCCTGAGTTTTGCTTATCACTGGGCAGGCATGCAGCTTGCTATCTTGTTGGCTGGCAACCAGCAGTATAGGCACAGGGGGAAAAAAAAGAAAATTTAAGAAGTTGAGGAAGGCAAACTTAACTATCTCCCCGCTGCAAAATTAAGTGGAAAAAAACAGCGAAAGTTAGAATATTTTGGACATGTGATGTGACACCTGGAAAAATATGGCATACTTCACTTAATCCTCCGGGGAAAAATTTAAGGCAAACAAGATCCAGGCAGAAGAAGAACATCAAAATCTAAGGAACTGATTTGGAAAAAACTCAGCAGCACTTTTTTGTGTGACTGTTGATAAAAATAGGATCGCCAACATGATTGCCAATGTCCGATGACGGATATGGCACAAGAAGAAGAAGAAAACTCCAGAGCTGTAGGGTAATACATTTTCTTACTTAAAAGAAATCCTAACTCACTCTTTTTTTTTCAAGCTAATGCTGCCAACAGTGTGCTCCTACCTTCTCTGAAACACCTTGATGCACTCTGTTGATACTTTAATTCATTTATTTTGTTCAGTGAAAGCCCAGGAGAAGGCATAACTTCTATTGGGAGGTACTTAGATAACCAGCATACATGGCCCCCAACACTGAAGGACCTTTTCAGCTTTGGATCTGAACTGCAGCACATGCCTCTTTGGGGGGGAAAAAATGACTCAAATGGTGATGAAAACTATTTAAATGCCAATTCAGACTGCTTGTGTCAGCATTATGAGTTCTGTGTTTGATAAGTTTACCAGCTGTTTCATATATCAAATCATCCTAATGGGCATTGATAAAAGAGAGTCACAGTTCATTACTTTCATAAAAAGGGTTGGAAGATTATAGACACTATGCAGCCAGAATCACATTTGCAAGCGGGAGATGAATGCAATCATTTCTAGGGCAGAGCCACAACGTCTTATTTAAAGGCATCAGGCTGTCAGATAATCTTTAGGATTCAAAATTTAATTTTTTTGCTACCTGTCCTTGAATACCAAATTCTGCGGCTGATTTTCCTGCTCAAGTTATAAATTGCGGACCACCAAATGGATTATAATCCCACTTCTCTTTGGGTAATATGGGGCTCCCTTTGTTCTTCATGTGGGGCTATCTCATCTTTTGATGATGGAGTTCAGAGTGTTCTAATGGGATTTGCCCAGGTATATATCAGTGTGTGTATATGCTAGATGCAAACAGTTCTGATCTGAAGGAGGAAAGATGTTTTGGAACGGTATATGATCTCCTGACATGGACAAGAAGACCTGCAGAGCCCCTTCCAACCCTACTATTCTATGTTCTGGGGGGGTCACATAACACCTCTCAGCTCTGTAGCTCTTTTCCTATGGTAAGGGGCAATGCTACAAGTCTGTAAATTGCATTAAGGATGAGATATTGACAATATAATTGCAATTCTTACCGAAGGGCTGTTACCCGAAAACTGGGGTAGAGGACACTGAGCTGATCTTTCCCACTCCCAGTAGTGATCTTTACAGTAACTCACATTGTGAACCAGCAGACTCTGATTGGTTTGACCACGGATAAGATGACTAGAAAAAAAAAACCCACAGGTTAAATAGTATTTTATATTTAAATGTCACTTTTGTTGTGGACAAAAAGTCTTTCTACAGTTTAAAAGGGGCTGCCACAGAGAGGAAGGGGTCAAGCTATTTTCTAAAGCTCCTATAGGCCAGACAAGGAACAATGGATGGAAACTGAACAAGGAGAGATTTAACCTGGAAATAAGGAGAAACTTTCTGACAGTGAGAACAATCAACCAATGGAACAGCTTGCCCTCGGAAGTTGTGGGAGCATCATCACTTGAGACTTTCAAGAAGAGATTGGACTGCCATTTGTCAGAAATGGTATAGGGTCTCCTGCTTGGGCAGGGGGTTGAACTAGGTGACCTACAAGGTCCCTTCCAACTCTGATGATCTGTTATCTGTTAAAACATCAGAAACATTTGAGTCAGGTCTATATAAAAGTCCTACCCTTTCTAATAGGGTTTTTCTCTCCAATAAAATTATATTGTGCTATAGTAGACATAGATGATGATGATGATGATGATGATGATGATGATAATGATGATGATATCCATTCGGTCATTTCCAACTCCTGGCAATTCTATGGACCAGGTCTCTCCACTTCTTCCAAACTTGCACTACTTTGAGATTTTCTATGCTCTGGCTGGTGTCAATTTTGACAGTGTCCAGCCACCGTGTTCTTTGATGGTGGCTAAGCACCATCAGAGCTGACACCAGACATCATATATAATGTATAATAATGTAGATAAGTTTCAGAAGAAAAGAGAGCTGAGATTGATGGCTGTCCTGGTTTACATTGAGGTTTGATCTCAGAATTAGTTTATAACTCCCAGCTGGTCACCTCGTAATTTGGACATTCAAAGTAATATTTCGCTGTGTGACTAATGTGTGTGTGTGTGTGTGTGTGTGTGTGTGTGTGTGTACATACTTACCCCATACCATGAACTACCAGGCCAGCAAAGAAAACAATGAATAGGTGATGGGTATACCAGAACACCTCATAGAAGGATCTTCTGATGGTTTCAGTAGATGAGGTCATTATCAGAATTAGCGACACAGTGATTAGGAGTCCTGTCACTCCAGCTATGCTTCTCAGGATTTCATCTAATGTATTCTACAGGGAAAATGGTTTATAGGAATATCGGATTAATAGTGTAACAAAAATATTAATTTAATTTTAAAAAATTTAAGATCAGACCCGGGGCATTAATATTAAAACCTATTTTCTATTTGATAGTAAAAATCTAAGGGGTGCAATTTCTGTGTATTTGTGAAATGGTAAGAGGAAATAAGACTGTCTTAGCAGTTCCTGTTATACTATACTTAGGTATTCTGAAGAAAATACATGATTCAAACAAGATTTAATGAAGCAGACAGTAATGAGGGGGAAAGCCTAGCATTATCAAATAAAGGAATAAGCGTAAGTAAAGGTAATATGTGTGATTCTATATTCCTCCAGAAGGAGGAATATAGAATATGCCAGAAGGAAGTATGTCTTTCCGTAGCATTTGCAGAATTTCATCAATGTTGCTTTGGCTATGCTGTATAGTGATCGGATTCATCTGAAACACAATCTATTTTCAATAGCCATCATAATAAGGACAAATCTTGTAGTTAGTATAAATGAATATTTAATTGTTTAAAATATGTGGCTACCCATTGGATCTTACGCACTGGTAAGTGAATTTAAGATGACAGCCTAAACTATTTTATTGGCAATAATAACTGTACATTTGTACTGGTTTTAGAACAATGACAAATGCTTGTTGAACATGAAGACTGTTATGGTATCATCATCTCTCTCCCCTTCTCCATCTCACATCAAATATATGTCTCCATGGGTTTCAAGAGAATATGGTATAGAAATTATCAACAACTAATATCAGTGGCAATTCAAAGTCTTTTATTTTGGTATTCTTATGAATGATTGATTACTATATCCCTACAAAATGACCCTACTTGATTCCCCTTTTTATGTGTTGTTTTCCATTTCTCTGCTCCCAGCATTTGTTTGTTAATTTAGGATGTGAGTTGGACTGTGTTTTCTGAGTGTAGGAAATTTTCAGATGAATGAAAGCTAACCAACCAACCACAAGACCAACACCAAAATGAACCTACTGTGTCATAGCTTCTGATGGGGTTCAGGTAGCTTTCATTTGGGTTCCCACCAATGCCAGACAGTTTCTTCCTCAAGTCTCCTGCTTGTTTCGAATGGCTGAGATGAAATTGTTCTATATTGACCAAATGTGCAATGATGTGAATAGCTATAAAAATAGGTTTTAAAAAGTAAAGATTATGATGTATTATTACTGGAACAAGCCAGACATCAATTTAGGAGGGACTATCTTCCTGCCATAGTCAATCAGTACATCTGATAAAGTTTTCTTGCCTTGACTAAGAGACAACACATAGGTTTATTCGGCATTGCTGAATGGAAGCATTATTCATTTATCTTTGCAATGCAAAATACCACCATGATTTTTCCTGTTCCTAATGTCAATCTCTATCCTGCTTCTATTACATCTCTTCTTCCAAATGGTATTGCCCTGATTCATTCATTTATTCTCTCTCTCCCTCTCCCTCTCCCTCTCCCCTTCTCTCTCTTTCACCCCCTCCCTCCCTCCTTCTATCTATCTATCCAAGGAAATACACATGACAGTCACGATAGGCAAGGTTTATTTCTTTGGCTATGCTATTTTCCAGCTTCAGCATATTATTTGCCAGGAGGGAAAACATTCACCAATACTGTTGTTATTTTGAGTCTAGCTACTTTTATAATTTATTATTATAGAGATATTTTATATAAGCTGCAATTACAAGTCATTAGCTATCTGATCAGTAAGCAAAGAAAGAATGAAGCAAGAGTTAAGTTTTGTTATTTTATATTACTTTATGTTATCCTTGATAAAACACATACAACTGTCATAGAATTAGCATTTGAGAGAGAAAGAATAGGAATTACAACATGTGAGTCTTGGATAATTGTTAGACTGATTTGTCAGGTTCTAATTAACTATTTTACTGTTCCCCATATAATCAATCACTTGCTAATTTACAGATAGACATCAACTTATGGATCATAATGGAACCTACCTATCAAAGTTGTAAATCATGACAGTCATAAAATGGGTCACCAAGGTGTCTGACCTGATTTTACAATCTTTTTTTGCAGTGGTCATTAAGCAAAACAATGGTCATAATTTGAGGCATACTTGTACATTGCTGTAAATAGGAGGAACTCATAGATAGAAGGCTAGAAGATTCAAATCTTGAAACTTTTTAGAGCTTCACATTCTAGTTCCACCCTTCTGTCTTTTGAAGCAGTGCTTTGATAGCTCTGTTGTCACCACTTTCTCATGTGACATCCTTTCCCTGTCCATGATGTTTAGAGTGGTCAAAATGCCACAACCTCTGCAGCTTTACTGGTGATTAAAATGGAAAGGATGGGCCTGTACAATAAGCCAGGTTTTTAAGACCTTCCTAGGATCATAGCCATGTGGTATCAGGAGGGATAGTTCTCCAAACATCCACCATGTCTCCTAGTTGCCATAACATGACATTCTTTTACTGATGGGATCCAGAGCATGTCAACCCTGGGTATTTGGGTACTAAAAGCTTTAATTTAAAATTATTGGTAAATAAGGGTGTAGACACCTTTCTATGGGCTCTTTCTTCCATTTCTCTGGGATATACCTCAGGCAAGATTTTAAAATATAAATGGGTTATTCCATATATCAATCTTTACTTACACACACAAAAGATGTGATACATACTGAAATGAATTCCCACTTTATGAATAACTTCTTAACCTAACCTATTAAACTTACGTTGGAAAGCACAGCCAACATAGTTTGGTGCACTTTTACTTTGTTGCATGAGAAAACTAAAATAAGTCAAATTAATGGATTTCTATTCCTGGAATGACTTCTTAATTAAGAAAAAGAAATGTGTGCACATTTTTCAGGAATGTATTCATATACATGAATATGAAAGCAAATTGATAAATTGCTGTCCGATGAAAGCAAATTGATAAATTGCTGTCCATGATAAAGAAACATCTCATCGTATCGCTTTGTGGCATATTCTGAATTCCATACTCTTTTGAGGTTTTCAGCAAAACAAAGAACAAAAATTCAGCTCATTGATTCTGGCAGGAATTATACCATATTAGATTCAAGAAACATCAGCACCTGCTTAGTAAAATGACTGAAACATTCATCTTATTGTTTAAATGTTCCTATGAGCTGTGAACAAAGAGAGTAAGGGTAAGCAAAGTAGAGATAAATTAATGCATGTCAGGCATAGAAGATGGGGATAGAAATAATATTTTTCCTTAACATTTTTACAATGTTAGAATTAGGCATTATTAACTGAAACTGAATGCAAATGATCCAGAACTGATCAAAGAAAAGACTTGATATTTGTTATATATTGTATGATTTATTCAAGATGGTGGTGTCATCAGGTGCAGATAACCACCAATTTAGATGGCTGTAAAAATTCTGGACAAAATCAAGGAGGATTGGCTTATCAATGGCTTTTAGCCAATCTACTTTTTCTTAAGACATGGACCACACAACTTCTTCATTTAATTCTATCAACGAGGTCATTAAGCAAGGTGCTAATGAACATGAGAGAGAGGGAAAGAGAGAGGGGAAGGGAAGGAGGGAGGGAGGGAGGGAGAGAGAGAGAGAGAAGGAGAGAGAGAAAACCACTTGCTGCTGTCTCATTCAGATACAGTTATCTCATACAGCTATACCTGTGTTACACTCACTCAGGCGTACATTGTTATGAGGGATATGAAATTTGGTTGAATTTTTTTTAGTTCTCATTTATTACCATCATACAGGGATGTGGTGGCTCAGTGGCTAAGATGTTGAGCTTGTCGATCAGAAAGGTCGGCAGTTCAGTGGTTCGAATCCCTAGTACTGCATAATGGAGTGAGCTCCCATTACTTGTCCCAACTTCTGCCAACTAGCAGTTCGAAACCATGTAAATGCAAGTACAAGAATAGGGAGCACTTTGGTGGGAAGATAACAGCTTTCAGTGTGCCTTTGGCATTTAGTCATGCTGGCCACATGACCACGGAGAAGTCTTCGGACAGCGCTGGCTCTTTAGCTTTGTAATGGAGATGAGCACCACCTCCTAGAGCCAGAAACGACTAGCACGTATGTGAAAGGGGAACATTTACCTTTTGTGATGATCCGGAATGTCCCAGAAATGTAACAAAAACCAAAACATAAATAGATGTTCTTTAGTGCCTTCAACTTGGCTTCACTGTTCAATTGTTCACAGTTGGAGATTAAACTCTTTCCAAAATAACATTCCAAACGAAAGAAATACAGTCCAACTCAAAGAGCAGATAACAAAGCAATAAAAAAACCAAAAACAAACCGCACTGAAGAAAGTTCCACAACAGACCAGGATAATTAATTACAAACTTCAAGAAGAAAACCAGGTATAGTTTGTTGGAAGAATGCCAACCAAGATAAACCTCATCCAGGAATAAAGCACTCTTTGTTTCCAGTGTTTGCTAGCATGCAGGTCCAAACTCTTATGCAGTTCTCACACCTGTATCCCATGAAGAGAATCAAGGCCCTCTCCTCCTGAGTAGACCACGTCTTTCCCTTATCCTCTCCCCCCTGCATGCCCTAGGATGGATAGGGGATGGGCCTGGATCCCCCTCTGACTGCTCAGCCAGCCTCTGCCCTTCCCCAGCCTCCTCCACAACCTCCGGAGCCACACTTCCACTCCCTGCCGGCTGTTCCTCCTTTCCCTCAAAGTCAGTCTCCACCAGGGGCTTAACACCTTTTATTACCATCATATTTGCAAACAGTTGCTAACCAAGGTAGTCGCTAAACAAGGAGTGACTATATATCTTAAATATCAGCTGCTAGGAAACAACCATTGAAGACTATTGTGCTCCTGTCTATATTTGTGAATTTCCTAAATATACCTGGTTGGCCATGGCTATAATACCAGAATATTAGACAAGACTTAATGTCCTTTTATGCTTGCATTGTCTCTGTGGTATGATATTTTTGTTGTGCTGTATTTACAATAAACTTGTCTTTCTGCTGGAAAATATAGTAAAATCTACATGTATAGTATACAAAAAGCACAAATATTCCTATTTCAATTAAAGCTAGAAATGGAAATGTAAAAGAATGGTGGTAATAAGGGTTGTATGGGATCCCCATTTTCAAAGCAATTGTATTAATTCCAACTCCATTAAAGCCAGGTGAGGCTTCACAAATGGTCACAACGTAAGTCATTGCCATAGGAAATCCTAAATGCTAACTCCAGGGATGGCAATTTAATTTAAGGGTTTTTTTTTCCTCCAAAGTTAACTTCCACCGATCTACAATAATTGAGCATTGGGAGGTATGTGGAATTACTCAAGCATGCAGCTAATATGCTGAATTTGTTTGATCCCAGATAGAAGCAAGTAATATTGCAGGCAAAATGTTTTCAAACTTACTTGCATTTACAGCTACTCCATAAGCAATCATCTTGTGAAATGTGATGTTTTTATCCAATTGTCTCCTCAATATTGTTCTGCAACACTTAATGAAAACAAAGAGGTATTTTAAATTATGTTTATTTCATTTACATGACTCTGAGCTTGAATTTAGTAACTGTGATATTCATTTCTCTCCTCCCTCCCATAATACATGAGAAAGAATGAGATCACAGGTTTTTCAATTTAAAATAGAGTTTCTGTTCACACAATTATTTAAGCAAAGTACATAATCCATAATATGAAGTTGACTTGGTCAGGAACTGTAAATGTGGATAAATCACAGTTTATCCTTTTTTTTCTTTTTGTAATCTGCAGCTGATAAAAATGGAAACAAAAATGTACAACCCCTTCAAAAATAGAGTAAAGAGAGAGAAAAGTCCATAGATTAACAAAGCTCACTTCTTAGGTAAATGATGCTAATATACAGCTTATTATATTTTATATTTGAATGTAGCCTAGAGGTTGAATATTTAGTTAGTCTTTTAGTTGCACCACCAAAATATATCTTGTTTGCATACTGGAAATGCAACAGTTTTGTTGGTTAAAATTGTTTTGTACAATTATAAGCCTTTCTATTATGGAAAAAAAGATTATACCATGCATTTAATTGATATAAGCTACAGCTGTTTTTCTTTAAAACATATTTTTAAAAGCACAAATAGAGCCATATAAAATTGCTACTGCATCACAAGGCAGACAAATATATTTATTGTACAGTTGTGTTACAAAAGGCTACCTTTTTAGCAGTCTATTTTATATCTAAATGTCTTAAATAATTTCCTATCTGCAGATTTTTCCCTCCCAGAACTCCTCCATTTCACAATTAGTGCTTACATTTTACTGGCAAATATGCAGTTTCTGCATTACATTGTTTAACCAGTTTGAAATAGGGATCACAGCTTTTTCCAAAGAATTATGTGAATGATAACCGTGAATGGTTTCTGTGAATTTTCTGCTCTACAATTGCCTTAAATCCTAGCACTGCAGTCTTTTGTTTTGAACCACGAGAGTTAACTAGGTTGAAGATACGGTGCAAACAAGTCCACATGGTCATTATTCATTTGTTCAAGATCACCCTATTTCAGGCTTCACGTTTATGGATGTTACAAAGTACAATGAAACAACAAACTGAGACAAGATAAAAATCACAATGGATAATTTCCCTGTGACTCTTGCCTGGTGAATTGGCTCTTTTCCATAATGAAAAGTGATAATCATCATATCTAACAGATGCATTCATGCATCTTTTTTTCCTTGTTTCATTCCATGAACAAGCAAGTTATTATGTACTACTATGTTAATCAAAGTCTATCCAGACTTGTCTTTCCAACAATACAAGGGTTTCTTCCTTCCATAGAACAAATTGAGATCTAAAGGTAACTATGAAAGAAGGGAGACATAATTTTTGCCAGTTCTTTTCCCTCTTGTAACTTCATTATATTTTCTTTACGATTCAAAACACTGTTTTATGAAGATAGGAAGTTGCCATACAGCTGAAAGATGCCCTCTGGACTAAGCCAGCACTATGCATCAACTCCATTTAACATGTGTTTCGATAAACTTTTACTTATTGCATTTATTCCTTACTTTCCAGTAAAGACCAAAGGTGGCTCACTTAGGAGATCTTCAAATTTTATGCCCACAATAATCTCTCTGTGAGATAGGTTGGGCTCAGAAAGAGGATTGGCCCAAAATCACCTTTTGAGCTCCTGGTCCAGAGATATTTATTTACTTACCAGCATCTACTTACCAATGTTATCCATTTACAACTAAATCTTACAGATTATCTTCTTCTTGAAGAAGAACGGGGATTTCTAGTACACAATCTGAAAGTCTACTAAAACGTTGAACCAATAAGAGTTTAAAAGACAATGGATGGATTACTGCTATCACTAAACCTTACTTACAAAAGTCCCAAAGGTGTTTTCTTTCCCTAAGAGGCAACTGGACTTTCTTGTTTTTCTTTGAAGAAGTTTCACTTTTCATCCAAAAAGCTTCTTCAGCTCTTGGATGAGAAACAAAATGTCTTCAAAGAACAACAAGAAAGTTGCCTCTTGAAAAAGCACCTTTGGGATGAACTAGGACCTGGATGACTGAGAATCTCCGTAGATATCACTTACAAAACTTCCCCGTAGGAAGGAGATGAGATTCCTGCTGACTGGCAGGAGGATCAGCAAGCAGTTGAAGTTGAGGCAAGCAGCAGAAGCTCTTGCCCATGCAAGTGCAGACTAGGGACAAACAAAAAACAAAAAACCTGTTAAGGTGAAACTAAGAATTTCACATGCTAAAACAATCAAATCTCTTTCTGTTTATTTCTGAAGGTTTAATTCCTAAACTGACCTTGGATGAAATGATTGATATGGTCTACAGTAAAAGAAAGAGACAAAAAATGTTCAGCACAGCAAACTTTTTTTTTTTAAAGGTTGGTCAATTATTTTTATCAGCAAAATATCTTGCAGTCACGTTTCTGATCTTAAGACCTGGCAACGAAGTTCAGAGATATCAAATAAGGCAATACATTATGATTATGATGGTCAAACAAATAATCCGACTTTAGCAACATTGTGTGAAGGCCTACCTAGCTCTCTGGACAAGGATCTAAGGCAGGGGTGTCCAACCTTGACAACTTTAAGACTTGTGGACTTCAACTCCCAGAATTCCTCAGCCAGAAAAGCTGGCTGAGGAATTCTGGGAGTTGAAGTCCACAAGTCTTAAAGTTGCCAAGGTTAGACACCCTTGCTCTAAGGTATAAAAAAAAGAAAGGAAGAGGGCAACCAGCAGCAAGGTGGAAAGATTTACTGGTATTGTTGGAAGACCTAAAAGTATCACATTAGGAACAAATAACCACAGAGAAAATCTATTTCTGCGATTACTAAGACGAAATAAGTAGCCTCTGCAACAAAGGAAGAAGGCAACAGAGAAGGTTTGTTGAAGAAGTATTGAGGTGGGGAATGAAGAGTTTGTAAATAATGGATAGAATTTTTTTCTCACCCCACACCTTCTAAAGATGCATTTCATGAGCCATTTGAAACTGTGTATTTTTAAAGTGCCACAGATGCATAAAGGGAAATAATTTTAAAATAAATTTCCTTAAGACAATTATTTGGATAAGTCTAGCCCGCGGTTTCTCAGCTTGGACAACTTTAAGGTATGTGTGGACTTCGACTTTCAAAAGTCCTCAACCAGCATGCAGGAAAATGGACAAACAAAGTTGCCAAGTTTGAGACACATTGGTCTAGGTAAAGAGATAGGTGCATATAGAAGCAAAGGTGTAGTAGAAATTTGGGTAAGTGAGGGAATTGGGACAGGTTGGCATAACAAAATAGATGGAGAGCTAAGTAAAAGATCCAGAAGGTATTTTAGAAGAAGTTTACTCACACCCAACATAACACGTGTGTAGAGGTAGGCGTCCTCAGATTCATACCAGAAGAATGTGTCAATGAACAAGTAGATGTTCATCCCCAACCACAATAACTAGAACAGAAAAGTTTTCACTAGTTGATTTCAAGTATTTATTTAAGCCTGTTGGTTTAGAAATGACTTCCTTAGTGCTTTGAGAAATTCACAAATGCTATGTGAAAAAAACAAGAGAACAGCCTGCTTTATCAAGAATTCCAGACACCAGTGATTTATCAGAATCAGTAGCTTGATTATGAAATACTTACAACTAGCAGAACTGACAAACTTTCATTCAAAATCCAAATCCCCATCTTGATTTTCTTTGTTCTGCACTAGCAGAGATTTGCTATTTCCTTGTAATGCCAACTGAGTCCTCTGGATCTTCCCCGCACTGCATATTCAGCACTAGAACTGCAACCTAGGGAAACGGTATTCTAATTAAGAGCTTTCTACCAGATGTCAATCTCCAAGGGGAAGAGACTTTGTGATTTGTGAAACGAACAAGCAAGTCATGGAAGATACATCACGTGTATTCTAATCAATGAGGCCTTCCCCCCTCGCAGTCATCTACACAACTGCAAATAACAACTTTAGAGATGCCCTGGAGTTCTTCTTCCAAGCTGCATGCGAAGGGAGTGCAGAGAGAGCTGTGTGGAGTTTTGAAAGGGGGAACTTTGCTTCAGCGAGGCTTTGATCAAAGTGATGCACTGATCAAAGCGGCCCCCTTGCTTGGGGGGGTTTCTATACATGGCTGCATGTGCTCAGAGGCTCCTTTCCCTTGCATTACAGCAGATGGCTCAGTCAAGCTGGCTTGCTTTGATGTCGAGATATGTGGTGTAGGAGCTAAGCGACTCCATTTTCCTAGTCAATATATTGCCTTGAATTGGAGCACAGAAATAGCAGAGATCGGTAGTACTGAAGCCCAGCAAACTCACTTCAAATATTAACATATATGTGTTATAATGAAGTAAACCATTCAGACTGAGCCTGGATCCTGGTAATTTCATAACTACCATGTAGTTTTCTTAGCAACATTAGAGAAGTGGTTTGACATTCCCTTTTTCCATTCCTCCCCCACAACTTTCCAGGCTAGCCCACAGCCCTAGCGGTCTCCCATTCAAATATTATACAAGTCTATTCTGCTTATCTGGCCAGATGCTGTTGAGAGTTATTATTTTGAATCAGCCATATCCCAAAAGTGACAAATCCATTTTTATTCCAAAGGATCTAAATTTTCTTCAGAGACTGGGTCAGAACATGCAGCTTTTTGTACAGAAAAAAAGTCATGTGCACATGCATGTGAGCACAACAGAGACCAAAAAAGGATCACACTCCTCAACTTGTTCTGTAGACATTGACTGGACAGGCAAGAAAGTTTCTTTCAAGCCCAGTGATATTGACTGTTTCTTCTGGTCCATCTGAGAACAGAAGCTTAGGGATCATTGGTGCTCTCTGACCTTGGTTGTTTACTAGCAGATATTTCATCACCCAAACTAGGTACCATCACCGGTGCTGGAAGGGAGTGTGGTTTGCTCTCATTTTATATTCTAGTGGCTTGCCCTGCCAGTGTTGGTGGGGGAGGGTCTTTGGGTCCTTTGATTGGCCTGTTTACAGTTGGCTTGTTTGGCAGTTCCTTGATTGCAGTATTATTTACTTCTTGACTGTTGATCTGATGTTAATCTTGGTGTTAACATTAATTAGGAAAGCCAAAAGAGATCAATCACATCCTCTATCTCATTGAAAATCCGTTCGTTTTCTCCTTTACTATACGCAGCTATGCAAAAGTTTACACTGCCACCAGAAATGGGTGTACTTCCCCTTGATGCCTGGGGAATGTGTCACTACTCCAGATTCACCTTTCTAGGAAGTACAAGACCTTCGTGATGTGGTGCCTTCACATGTTAGGCTACTGCATCTTTCTCATCCCTCAAGCTGAAGGTTTAGTTTGACTATTTATAGGGCATACCTTTGGGAATTTTGAATAGAAAGAACCACATATTATTTCAGCATGTATTATTGTTTCTAATATTTTCCTTACAAATTCCTTGAAGCTGAGACCACTCAGTCTAGGTCACCACAAAATGTGTTGTATTAGATGGTTTCATATGAAATGATGATCAATCATTAATTATAAAACATGAATATATCATTATACAGTAACAGTTATTATTTAACTGTAACAGGTATCCATAACTACTTAAACATACCTCCTCCTCCCCCACAAATTTTGTACACCATGAGATAGAAAATGAGAAAGCGAAATAAGGTCGGCTACGATTGGGTGACCTTCTTTTCTCCTTCCCTCCTTCCCTTTTTAATGTCAGCATCTGAATTAGCCATACTTCAAAGCCAAAGGGGAAAAAAAAAGGCTGCACAAGACATTCTCTTTTGAAGTACAGCTGATCCAGACACCAGTTTTCTAAAATGAAAGTCTCTCTTTCTCTCTCTCCCTCTCTCCTCTCTCTCTTTTGCTCTGTTTTTTCAAAGGCATCTGACTGGGATTTTTCCAAGAACAGCAAAGTCAGAGGCTGCTTTGGATTCCTAGCCATGAGAGTGCTTCTAAGTATACTTCAAAGAAGAATTGTTCATGTAGCGTCTCTTTGAAGTTCATCTGATTCAGATCCAGATGCTAGCTTTCTGAAAGAATCCAGTATTTCCACAGGAATTAATGGCGCTCCTCTAACATATTATTTAGCAAAAAGTAAAGTACGCTCTCAAACATAAAGTGATTTAGAATAGATTTTGAAATGCAGATGAAACAAGGGTTGCCAGATGTAGGAATCGTGCCAGTTCATCAGTGTTTTATTCGTTAGAAGCGACAGCTCAAATCTAATAAACATATAGTCTAAACAGAAAGTATTGTCATCTGTATGCAACATTACAGGCTTTTAAAGACTTTGAGAGTCTTGAGGCAGCTATTCCTTTGAGATCCATTGCCACTTTATTCTCACTGCATCTGGGCCAACATCGTATTTTTCCCCCCATTGCCTTTCATCCATAGAAGTCAAATTTACTGCTGAGCATTTCCCTCGATATCTGTCCATGTAGTTTTCTCAGCTGAATACAGAAGTGATTTGCCTTTGCTTTCTTCTGGGATGTGTTTTAACTTCCTATTCTAGCCTATAAAGTCCCTGCTTTTCCTAACCTCTTTTTCTTACCTGAAAACCTCAAAATCCTATGCTGTCTTTTATGTTATTTGAGTGACTTATAATAAAGCTATTATTACTTATATATGGATGCTGTGTGTGTGTGTGTGATGGGCACATTAGCTCATATTAGCTATGACTGTTCTTTATCTAAAGTCATGTTGGGATGATATTGTTTTACTGCACCCTCTGATTTCTTTCAAATCCTGAATCATAATAGCAATAGCACTTAGGTTTATATAATGCTTCACACAGCTTTACAGCCCTCTATAAGCAGTTTACAGAATCAGCATATTGTCCCCAACAATATGGGTCCTCATCTTACTGACCATGAAAGAATGGAAGGTTGAGTCAACCTTGAGCCTGGTGACATTTGAACTGCCAAATTGCAGGCAGCCAGCAGTCAGCAGAAGTAGCCTGCAGTACTGCATTCTAACCACTGTAGCTTTTTTAACTAGATGGGCAGTCCTCCTTACAAGTTGCTTGAGTAGCAAAATGTCTATGGAGCTTCTCAGTCATCCAGGTCATGGTTGTCCCAAAGCTTCAAGAGGCAACTGGGGTTTCTGGTTTTTCTCTGAAGATGTTTCACTTCTTATCCAAGAAGCTTCTCCAGCTCTACTTCCAAAGAAATAATGTATACTACTTGCATACATATACACATGCTATATACACTATATATACACAAACACACACAGGTACACACATACACACACATATATACATATATGTGTGTGTGTACACACACACAACACACACACACAACACACACACACACACACCACCACCACCACTGTCCATTTTGAATACATAGTGGAAAGAGGAAACTTGAGAGACCACAAGATTGATATTTATGGGACAAAACTGTGGCTGAATCTGGATATTCTGTTCGGTTACCACAAAGCCTCCTCCCAGAAGGTAACAAGGAAAACAGGCCATGAAGAGGACATGTAGCCTCCCAGACAATCCTGCGGGTCCTGCTCAAGCATCGCTTATATGCAGAGGTGGGCTTCTGCCAGTTCTCACTGTTCAGGCAAACCAGTAGTTAAGGCTCTGCTCAGTTTGGTGAACTGGCCCCACCCCTGCTTGTTTTTTGGCCTGTTTTCCAGGCCATTTTCGGGCCTGAAAACAGGCCAAAACCAGCCTGAAAATGCCCTGAAAATGCCCCCAAAACAGCCAAAAAATGGGCGGGGGCAGGGTTATCCAGTGGTAGAATTAGTGAGTGGCTGGGAGGCGGGGATCGGTGTGATGAGTAACGTCACCCACCCAGTCACATGAGCCAACCGGCTATGTCTACCCAGCCAGAGGACTAGTTGTTAAGTTATTCCAATCTCACCACTGCTTATATCCTGTGTCCTGGACAGAAGGAAGTGAACTACCAATAAACTTTTCTGCCATCCTCACCACTCTCTGCGCTGCCTTCCTGTCTAAAGCAGTAATGCTCCCCACCAGACAGTAATGTAATTTGGCAGAATGCTTTCAATTGTCCCTTTATAGAAAGTGGTAAGGACAAAGGAAAGAAGAGGTACTTTTCTCATGACAAAGAAAACAACACTATTCTAAAACTGGAACAGTGAAAGATGAATTTCTGCTGCTCTCCATGATGGGCTGGGAATGAACGAGAGAAAGATCACAAGGATATGATTAGCAAGACAATTCCATGGGCTAGTTTGCTATGAGGAAGTGTCCACAGAAAACCTTCAATAATAGAATGACAGATAATGGAAGCTTCAGAGCTGAGGCAAATCTTCCCTTGGATGTTCTTGCTTTCTGTGTGCACAAGCTCCTTCCCCCAGGGGAAGCACAAAAACATGAAATCTTCCATCTGCAATGTGAAAAGCTGCAGCAGCAAATAGGGCTCAGTTAAAGTCCCAGTGATTTTCAATGGACTAAATTACAAGATGCCTTACAGGCTGAGGTTACAGGCTGAGTTATCTGAAAAGGTGGGGGGGTTGGGAAACAATTGGTTGTTGTTCTTTCAATTATTCCCCCACCTCCTCCAAAGCCATATAAGCTTTAGGCTAGCTGAAGACTTTTAGTGCTTCAAGACAAAAATATCAGAAGGCTTTTAAAAGATTGCAGCAGGTAGCAGGTAGATACCAAATGTTTCATTCTCCTCAAAAATGAATACTTCTGTTACTACAAGATTGAAAGGAGCCATAAAACGT